ACGGCAGAGAGCTGTTTTGTGACTTACTGCGAAGTACTCTGTCGGTTCTGAAAGGTGTGTAGGATGTAAACCGGTCTATAATTTGATATAAAAGATCAATGCCGACAGGTTATATATGCAGCCAAATGTAAAGGATCGAGTTAGCCGCTAGAGTGTAATTTGATGTTGAATTGTTATTTAGGTTTGCGGTAATGTTAACTTGCATATTTTGGCCACATGTTGCCCTTCTATGTTAGAAGGTATGAAAGCGTGTGCTATGTCATTATCAGCACACCATGGCTCTCGCAGCTAGGTTTGCACTGACAATCCCCTGACACCTGGTTCGCCGCCGGAAGATGCGATCGCGATCCCGCTGGATATACAGATGGTGAGCATGGCTGCCTAGTCATCATCGTCCTTCTGACTCCTGTAGGGGTGTTGTTGTTGGTGCAAAATCCTGGTCAAGTGTATGTTGTGGACCAGGGGGTGAGGTGGCACGCCTGGGTTCGGGTCCGGCCGTACCAGCTACCTGCGCCCCCGCCTCCTTTAGTATTGACTCTGTCTTGACTCCGGGTCCAGGTGGGGAGTGGGAGAGAGAGAGTGCGGCAGATGCTATGCAAGTCTTCTATCACTATAAACTACTTCACGTGTAAGTCACCGTGCTTGTTGTACATTACTGTGTAGCACACTATAGACGACCTCTAATTTATCGCTCCCAATGCCACTGCAGTGTTCCCCCTCCTAGGAGCATGGAGTTCGAAAATGCAAAATGTTGTGAGAGAAAGAGAGAGGAAGTCGCTTTATTTTGAAATCGCAAATTAAAATTTTTCAGCAAAAATTGGCTTCGTTCACTATGGGCATTAAATAAGTTAATAGATTATTTGAGAGTCAAAGTTTAACTTAAAGAACCGATTATTATGAGGATAGTTCAAGTCTTAGCTTCTGTATTTCTATCTCTTCGCACGTAAAATACCGCGCTAGGAATGGCTATACAGAGGCTCGATAAGCCGATGTGCGACAGGATATAAGTCGGAAGCTGCGGCGCATCGGGCGGGAAGACTTTGCAGACATAAGATCAGAATGTAAGGGATGGGCAACGTCATTTAGAATTCGACCAGCAAATTGCTTAAGCGCATTGAAGTGTCGTTGTAAGATAGTGTCAAATAAAAAAGATAAGAAACACCAGCAGCAGAAGTGGGCATGCGGAGGACGCGTTTTAAAATTAAAAGACCCTTTTTTGCAAAGCAGGGAAAATGACTGGAGAGCAGTATAGGATAAGAGGAAGAATACAGGTATCGATGAATCGCAGACTAAGGGTTGAGGTGTGTGGTAGGTACGTAAACGACATACGTAGTAAAGACGTTTACGAACTTTAATAAATAGGGACTCAATATGGAGGAAAAAGGAACGATTAGAGGACAAAGTAACGCCGAGGGTCCTGAAAGAGGATACTTCGTTAGGAAGAATGTCAAAGGATCCAGGATTAGAAAAGGGCCGCAGTCGAAAAATACACTGAACGAATTTTTGGTTGTTAATTAGGAGAACATTTTTCTCCGACCACGCTAAGACATGGTTTAGGCCATCCTTTAGAGACCGGAGGTGTGTCTGACTTTTGAGAGGGTAGAATGGTATTACTGACAAAGACAAGAGAGACTGGAATGGCCATTTCTGGCGCGAGTTCGAGGCTCGGGTGTTCCACATTTCGGGCTTGGGTATGTCTGGCTGACGACGGTTAATACGCCAGAAATGGCCATTCCAGTCTCCCTTGCCTTTGTCGGTAATACCATTCTGCCTATATATCATGCGTCGCTGTGCGGCTGCTGGTTGGGCTCGAAGAAGAGCCCTTAAGGCACAACGGAACGAGTGAGTTCCGTATGAACGATCGGTGAGCGTCCCCTTACATTTTTAGAGGGTGTCCAACAACCACATCATTATCATACTTGACCAAAAGACAGTCATTAGGGGACCTTAGATCGTCCGTGTGGAGGGAGAAAAGGTGAGGGGATAGAATGGAACCTTGAAGAACACCGCAGTCATTGGGAAGGATCGATGATTTCCGCTGGCAATGATCAGTGACGCGGATACGACTGTCATTACGTGTGGAGTAGTAGGATGCGCAGGGTTGTCAAGTGCAAGCGAAGGCGGGGAAATCACAGGCGGCATCGTGCCGGGTGTGGCAGATGGATCTCTAGGAGCGGACGAAAGAGGGTCGGTGTAAGTCATATTCCAGCGGTCAACTAAGACCACCTTCGTGCCATCGCTACGGGTGATTTTTGAATGTTTGCCCGTGCGCAATAGGACTCAAAATAGCCCGTAATAGGGCCGATTGCGTGGCCTACGAACACCATATACACAGGCAAATAGAAAAGAATAGCCTAGCAAATAAGTATCTACGTACAAAATGGTTGTCAGAGCGCATGGATCTATGGACTGTGAATTAACCTTTGGATATGATCAGTAACATCCGGGTAGCCTAAGAATTGACGCGGCATGAAAAAGTCGCTGGGAATCCGTAGGGTAGGGCCGTGAACAATTTCGACAGGGGAACACTCCGAGGCAAGTTTGAGCGCGGTACGGATATCGAGCACGACCATGGGTAGGTGGTGTCTCTAATGAGTGATCCCCAGCGACCCAGCAAACGTCAGTTTGTGGGCAGTTGGTACGAAAGCGTATTGTCCTTATCCGGAAATTATTAACTGTCCCTTGCACAATCCAGGATTGAACTGTACACACTCGTATGATGGGAGCAACATTTTGGCCAGGATGTTCTCTCATTGGGCGTGGACAGTGCTCCTTTTTTATTTGTCGCTAAAGTATTTTCAGTACGAGCTATTAATCAAAGATACTATGCATTTCGCGAACAGTAGGTGCTTTCCTTGTAGGTTAAGCCGGCATTATCGCAAGTGGCGTATACTTATCCCCGTCATACAGCATCAGATTAGGGATGCGAATATCTGATTCGCTAGCGTCTGAGAGTAAATATAGCTGTCTGAGTGGCGTTATTTTGCGAAGGTCTTGTTGAGTCTTCCCTGCAAATAGGTGTTAAGGAAAATGCAGATCGACATACGTACAAATTAAACCCAGTACGTTTTTTGAATTTTTACCCCAGATTCGTCGATAGGTTTCTGCTACTGCTTGACACATTAGCGAGAGATTCGGCTCCTCAGCAGTTCCTCTGCGTTCTCTGTGTGGTGTCTGTTACAAGAACGCCAGGGTATAAGCAAGCAAGAAATTTCAGAAATCATTAAATGCAAGACATGGAGCTGTGTCCGGAACATGACTTTTTAGGGTTAGACCCGAAAGTGTGTTACTTCGGAAATAAATAAATCCAGTCGTGCAAATGCTCAAATTTCAACTACCAGTCCGTCGCCAGGCGAAACTCAAAATCAGAAAGGGACATTAGCACACTACAGCTTTTAGGAGGGAGACGGGGGGCACGCTTACCGCGTGGGACGAGAAGGACCAGGGAGGAGGTGAGTAGAAGGAGGAGGAAGTGGTGGTGGTGGTGGTGGGATTACGGATCAATGAAATTGCAAGCGACTGAATGGGCGGTTGTTAATTTGAGATGGGAGCCGGGGTCAGTGGATCGTGATCACTAACCTGCCAACATAAGTTGATGTGTTGAAAACACTCTACTCTCGGGTATCAAACTGACCAACGCAGACTTCGTGGGCGGAATAGCCCTACCTTTCATTGGTTCGAGTACGTAGTTTACGACATAAATCCACTTCTCTCCGTCAAGCTACAGTAGAACTCTCTGATATGTGGACTGGGCTGGCCTTTCCGCTTGTCCGGATACGAAGCTTCCACAACCGGGAGTTTTCCGAATCAAAAGCCATGGAGGCAGGGTTGGTAGGACAGTCTTTACTGGGACAAGCAGCTCAGAAGGCAGCATCAGGAATTTTCCGACCAAGTTGAGGACCAGACGTTTGTGTACTCTCCAGCACGAGGTGTGAGTGCGCGCCTGAGACATGTCCAACCGTTGAGCAGCCCAGCCAGAACCCTTATAACATGGCTCTAGCCCAATCTAGCATGCATTTTCTCTCATGAGCCTTTTGTAGGATCTCTTATGTTGTTATTGTTGTTTCTACTGCCGTATGCATGCATTTACGTCTTTTCGACCAGAACTACTTTGGAATTGAACCAGGAGTGTCTCTGCACTGTCTAGAAATTTAGACTCCACTTTTAAAAGTACTTACCACCAACACGCGCACGCCTGCTCGTTCCATTTCCTGTCCAGGATGTAATTGCGAGGAGTTGGACTCACTAGCGTCCCTCTCCACCTTGGCATGCGTAACATCCAGTTTAGTCTCATTCTATTTCACGCTTAACTCAGCAACACGAGTGGCACATGAAGCCGCGCGAATTGGGAGTTGCAGATGAAAGTGGCTCGATGAGGTTGTAGGCAGGAGAGACAGGGACTCTGCACGGCCGAGCTCATCTCCAGTCAGTCTGACCCATGTTCATGGTGGTAGGTCTGCACCACCATCTTTCCATGCTACACACCAAGGCGCCGTGGTTTGGAGGATTTCTACCTGGCTGGATAATTTAGTTCTCTTGGACCGTGAACTAGAAAGTAGTGACTGATCTGCTGTTCGCGTGAGCGAATTTGAGCTCGCGGGTAGTAGGGCCAGCGTGTGCGTGTAGCTCACGTGACAGCGACTTGTGCCGGTGTAGTCTTTCCAGCCATGCATATCTCCAGTCGTCTCGACCTTACTTTTCCACCTCCTCACGAGAAGTGTGGGGAGGGAATGCGGTCGAGGCTGTTCACGTGACCACTTCCCCCTCCCATCTGGCTGTCTTGCATTTCCAATGTTCAATCTCAATTTTTAAATCTGAGATGAGCATTTTATATACGCCCTTTTTGTCTTTTTCACCCGTCTTATGTCAGTTTCCCTGAAGGCATTGCTGTCTGTCCCGAAATTTTAAGGGCTGGTGGCAGTTGGTGTTCCTCACGCATTGCGTTTTTAGTCTGCTTCCTCTTTTGACTGTCTCCTGGGTTGTTTGCATGTCATTTTGCCATGTCGTTTATTCCTCCTCAGGACCCACTGCCTCCCTACCCCGCAACACCGATTGGACCGCAACCCTACGCTCCGCCACCGTACCAGCCACCGACGATTGGCTCTGCCTGGGGCTCCTCTCCCAGTGGACCCGGAAACCCAGGGCTGCCCTATCCAGCAACAGCACCTGGAGCCCCAAATCCCAACACTGGTAGTGGTTGGAACGCACCCGCTCCACCCTACCCGCCCAAATGAGAAGTCGGTTGTCCTTTTTATATACAAGTCAAGTCAAAAATTGCCCTAGTGAAGGCAAATGTATTTCAGTTTTTCCTTGGTTTAGCTTTGAACTCTCAAGAAGTGGTTCACTGATCTGTCTTCTCAGCGGTCACCCATCGGGAAAGCGTACTTTCGGTATGAGTCTTGGGCTTCTCTTGTGGTTTACTTGTTCCACTAGGTTACAGTGCGTGACCGATATCATGAAATGTTGGCTAAAATTCTGATATGCGTTTTCGATTAGGAAGGATTAATAACGCGGCGTTGTAATATTAATCATCTTGTGGCATAATCTTTTAAAATTTAAGACGGCTTTTGACTGCACCTTTTTCTGACTCCCTGCAAAAACGACGTTCGGCAGAAAATGACTTCTTACTTCGCATGCATTTTTCGCAATGATTTTCGATGGTCAGTATCAGTATATTTCAGGGAAAGTAGGTGTGTACCTTTGAAAACCCTATTGGTTACATGCAGAGGATATATATATGGAGGAAATGGAAAGGAAGTAACATGAAAAAAATGTGAAAGGAATAGCAAAAAATGCACAGATGAACGCACAATGTCATGCGTTAACAGAGTTTAGAGGCACATTAACTTGCTTTGAAGGGACTGCCAGAGTCTCTCAGAGATGATGGTGATATCTGAGGCAGTGTCCAGCTGTAGACGAACTGCATGGCCATTAAGCAAGACATCAACAAATTTTCTACGACCAGACGCATTGAGCTGCAAAGCAGCCAAAAAAACTGAGAGAATTACCCACGGACTGGGGTTTGGGCTTGCGTTTTGACCGGAAACGGTGCCTGGAATTAGGAGTGGCGGGGGCTGGCTTGCCTCCAGAAGCTGGTAATGATTTGCAGAACCCATCACGGTGTCCCACCTGATTACAGCTTTTGCAGCGATGCTGGCGGAAAGTGCAATCCCGGTGGAAATGCCACGCGCCACAGTGCCGACAAGGAGATGGCGGAGATCTCGACTTGGACACTTGCTTGGGCCGTGTAACAGGATGCGATTTGGTCGATGTGACCGTATGGACTGAGAAAGATGAGGCCGGGTTCTGAATCATTGCAGAATCGTGCTTGAGATTGATCAGCGTTTGGCACTCTGCCGTCAGCTCTTGGAGTGTGGTAGAGTTGTGCTGCTGCACTTTGGACAGGAGACGTGTCCGGATATCAGCATCCTTGGGGGACTGGAGGCCGCAGATAAATATAAGGCATTTAAACTGGTCTTCAGTGACAGAACCGAGTTGGAAACGCCCACACTCACGATAAACAATGCCCGCGTACGTGATGAAATCATCGGAATCTCGTTTGCACAGTTGCAAGCACTGAAATCGAGTGTTGAAGAGGCATGATTGCTCACCAAAAATCTGCGTCGCCAATTTGTTATGACCCGCCTGGTACTTGAAATCCCGTGGAGCGTATACGCACTCGACTCTGCTCCCCAATATCAAGGCAGCAGACAAAGAACACACGGCTGACCACGTAATGTGTATTAGCAACACGTATTAGCAAGTCAAGTCTAGCTAAGGGTGACGCATATTTATCACACGCTAGCGTGGTTCGCCGGCACTCGGTACAATGACCTTCGGGAAGAAGGGAGTAGCCAATGGGAAGCGCTTGATTGAGATGACAGCGCGGTAGAGAGAGAGAGCAAACGCACGTGATCTCCATTGATTGGTTTTCTCTTGTTTTTGGGAGTGTAGGCACTCCCAACGAAATCAATTCGTGATTTTGCATATTTCAGCCTGATAAAGGATGAGGGAACTCTACAAGACTGGCCAGCCTGAGTGAAGTAGCCGAGGCGATTTAAGGGATTAGTCTGCCAATCACGGATATCAGTCGCTCAGACCATGATCTGCGATGCACTTGACGGGCCACCTGGATATTTTTCCCGTAATGCATCCCATTCATTTCAACTTCCCTTCACGTAACCTCGAGAAAAAGGATAACAATAGATTCACTATTTTATAGATCAGAAGACGAGGTGACGAGCATACGTAGCTTTCAATAAATTCTCATCGGGCCAGTGCAATTATATGGGAACAGGGTAGAAGTAAAAACATTTCAGTAATAAGAGAAATCGATTAAAGTTCGCCTTAAAAACAGTCCGGGTTTAGGAATGTGGGGGAGGAGGGAGGGGCTATAGCTGTAATGGTCGGGGGCGGGGTGAGAGCATAAGGGCGCAGGCAGAGTGGCAGCGTTAGTCGACCTTCGATTACTGCAGGTGCGGAGCCTGAACGTGGTTCTTCTGTGCGCACAAGATTCGTTTTCGTAACTTGATGGTGGCCACCTCTGGTGTTGCTAACAGGCGCCGGCCCATTATTTTAGGATAGCTCGATGGGACCTTTTAATGGGTCGCAGTAAGGTATCTGGGCCGCAATTTTATGGCGGAATGTGATGCAGAGGGGTCTTTCGGATGGAGAGAAGGGTGTCTGGGTACGTGGGTGAGGCACCCGTACGACAGTCGCACCAATAAACAGACGACAGCATGACCCGGGTACGATAAAGCTTGACTGACACAAGACGGGGATTTCCGCGTGAATAAGTTTATATTGAAACAGTCTTACACAGCATATAATGCTCTCATTGCCCGTCCTACGTCCCAAGAACTCCGGCGTAGAGAGAGTGTGTTTGGACGACTTTTAATTTTTTACTAGTCCAGAAAACTGCACTAGCGTTCATTTTGCAAGTTTGCAGTGCTTTTTACGCCGTACTAATGAAACTGGATGGACGGTAACTGCCGCTAGCCACTTATGTCATTGGCGGTGACTATGGCTTATCCTGTCTGTCATTCACTGTAAAAGAAAAACTTGGCATGGCGCTTGCGAATGGTGCCTTACCACACTGGAAAGAGTACCTAAGTCAGGCTCGCATACTCTGACAGAACTGCCGTTCCACTTTTTAGAGTCAGAAAGCGCTGGAAACGAGGTTGTCATAGAGCACCCGCTGCCCTTCGTTGACACAGAAAATTACTTTGATCTCCCTACTGCACGCATCAGGTCTCCACGTCAGCCGGAAGTCCGATTGACTACCTCAGAAGTGAACCAAATGGCAGTAAACGGTCGTTGGATTGTATGCTGACGCTTCGGTACCTCCAGATTATGATTTTGTCTAATTGCTGTCATCTCCAACAGCGGATCTGTCATCTTTAATCTTAGACATTTTTCCTTCATCACCAAGTCGCTGAACATCCCCCCCTTACCCTTCATCTTATTGTTGTCCCGACCCATTTAAAGGGGCACTATGATTTGGTAGAAGCGAGGCTCCTCCCATTGTGTACATCTCCAGGGCTTAACTGTCTTGTGTTGCTTGGCGAAGTTACAATACGTCAACTCATCCTCCTCAAAAATTTTCAGCGGCAAAGGATTAGGGACAGAAATTTTTCTAGAGGAGCGGCTGTAAAAACAACGGAACGTTCAAGTGTATTTCTGCCTTATGCGCAGCCCTGTATAACATCGGCGCCGATGGGGTGACCTAAAAGAATATTAATTGCATTAGCCACATGGTTGGGGGAGGTGTCGGATTTGGCCATGAACATAGTGCACTAGCAACTCCATGCGGACCAGCGTCGATTCACGTCGGGCAGGGAGGACCTAACGAATGTAGTACGCAAGAGGTGGTTCAAAACAGGACAGAGGTGGCCCGCAACGCAAATTATCCCGGGAAATTCGCTACGCCTACACAAGATTTTCTACCAGATGATGAACCTTCAAATTGTGGTTCGCGGTGTAAATATCGTCGAAATCTCGCGTTAAACATTACGTCGTTGGAGACGAACATGAACCTCCTTATAGATCTCATTGCATTGTTACCAAAGTATGATAAATTCAGGTCAATTGACGAATTCAGCAGCAGCCAACAGATAGTTTCGAAACTGACAGAGTTGACTAACAGCAACCCACTAGTAGAGGGATCACCGTTTCAGAAGATCGCTGGCTGCAGAAATAAACAGAGTGCTATGAGAAGAGGTAAACGGAAACATGAACATACAGCCTCACCCTTACCAAGAGCGATGGTAAACGACACTCCAAAATCGCAAACTAAGTTGCGAAGTGATAATGACGGTACACTCTCATCATTGATAACTACCCAGCTGAAGAACAATGACCAGCTCACTGGTAGAGTACAAGCTGTCCGATCTCCACCACAGAAGAAGGTAAAAGGATTCGACATAGAAAAGACTACCGCATGGACGGAAACCTCAGAGGAAATCGCGGAGAATATGACAAGGCATGATATTAATCCGCCACAGAAGAGCAGAAAGCAGACGCTCACTGCCCCCCGCAATGTGACCGAGGAGGAGCAAGGAATTAATAATAAGACTCAGACCGTTCACATGCAACTGAGTTCACATCAAAAGAAGCAGTTAAATCAAAGGGGACTGATGACTGAAAAGAGAGAGACGTAAATCGGACGACTTCGGAGTACTCGAAGAAAGGAACTTCCTAGGGTGGAAAAGCAGAGCTCGTCTGAGCAATCGAACGAAACCTCCAGCGCCGGCGTAGACACAGACGCGGCAAATGCGAATATCCTCTGTATTGACATAAAAGACAGGAGCAGTATTGCCCCAAACACGATACCATTAGCTGCAGAAAAGATCCCTGGAGTGGATGGCAACCAGAATGTCGTCATGAATGGTTCGCCAGGAACTCCAAAGTCACCAACATTACGCAACCAAGACCGGCCGTTCCGAGAACAGTGCGTAGTAATACAGGGACTTCAGGAGCCTCAAACAGACACACCTAAAGGACGCGTATTAGCTGATCTCGGCTTGTTCCAAGGTCTTCTTAACACACTGCTTCAACGCAACGAAGAAATTTCCGTGTTGGAAAGTGCTCTACTGAACCCGCTATTCCACCGCATCCTAGGCCCCTTAAAATTGTTCTGAGTTGCAAAGAGCATGTTGATCTCAACCTCCCAAGACGTTTTAGGTTAAAATATTCCCACCAAGGAGTTTTTTTTCAGCCGGATTACACACCAGCG